GCTAGAAAACAAGAAAAAACGGAAAATTCCATGCTTTGGCCAATGTGGTCCTCTGTTGCTCTAAAAAGGGAAGTGACATTGGTTTGGTGTTTCCATGTAAAATGTATACTATCTTACAGAGCATATAGCGCTGATTCCAAATCTGCTTTCCATATCTGCTAATCAATTTTGGGAGGGGAGTTATGAGGATTTTTGGAAGCAACTCAAACGCGCGGATACAATGAAGTTATATGAGAATGTGGCATGTGAGGTGATACGGGCCACGATTACTGCTAGAGCTTCAGTCAATACTTTAGTTTAATGAACTTATGCTGTCATCACTCCTTTCAAGTGCCAGAAAAATCTCAACGGCTTTCTTACCTTAATTAAATCCTGAATTCTCCCCCCAAAAAATCCCATAACTCCGTTCACGGAAGCGCTTTGCAGCCGCCAGCAGGTTCGAAATTAGCGTTCCATGCGCTATAAGGCAATATGCATTCCATGTGGAAACTCCGCCTTGACGAAGCACCTTCTCCTGCGAGTTAGTTCGCAGAAGTATAACTGTGGAATTATGAACGTAAATTTTCAGCTTGAAGCTTTAGGCCTAAGGCATACCTCACGCGATTTTAGTCGCCGCGCGATTTGGCACTGCAACGACTCTCCATAACTGGTCGTAAACGCACTTTGCTTTGGCCAGACTTGCTGTGTTTGTTACAATTTACTGAAACTACGCACCCATGCATCTGAGAGCCTCGCATGCTTAATCTCTGAACATCTGGCAAATCGCCAAGTCGCGAGGATGTGGCGATTTCGTGAAATCGCGAGAGGTATGCCTTAGGCCTTAGTCTTCAAGAAATATCGAAGAAGTTACCCTTTTCTTGTCAGTGTCTCAGATCCATAATTCTCGCGAACTAGAGCTTGTGAGAAGCTGAAAATTACGTTCGTATATCCACAGATTTATTTTATAATACAAGTACTTATGTGGGAACAGCTGAGGACCATTTTGGCAAAAGCATAAAAAATTTATCGATTTTCGATTAATCGAGAAAGAATACAGCAATGGTGTACCGGGTGCCCCAAAAAATTGCATACTGTTTGATCGTCAATAGCTCTCTTGCTTGCACTCCTTCTCCGATCAAAGCAGCATTTTGTAGAGCGAAACTCAGCTTAGATTTATAGCATGAAACGAATCTCCGACCTTCCTTCGTTATGTAGGATTACGGCAGGAACTTCGAGAAAACTTATAGGCCATTGAAAGCGATATTTTGCCTCAGAAAAAAATCAAAAAAGCAGGGAACTCTTATACTGGGTTAATCGAATTCGCTAACTCGAAACATAAAGTTTGCACCTCACTGTAATGCTTCTTTCGTAAATTATTTCAGGTTTAGGGTGACAACTGCTTTCCGATGCTTGTTAGAAATGTAATTACATTATTAAAATATCGAAAAACTGGCAAGAAGTTGTTTAGTAAAATCAGCACTCCCGAAACTTTACTACACAAAATATCAGATCTTTTGGAATTTTTTTCGTCAAAAGGCCTATTCCACGCTGACGCTATATGCTGAAAGTTTGCACCGTAACCCTACAGTAATGAAGAGCTATTGGGGATTCGTTTCTTACTGTAAATCTAAGTTGAACCTGGCTCTACACAAAATGGTACGTTAAGCTCGGCCAAAGACATTCAAGCAAAAGAGTTATTAATGACAATTAAACAATGTGCACATTTTTTGGAACACCCTCTATAGAGGTATATGACAGCAAAAGCGCGTACTTGAGCAGCTTAGGAATTTTTGTAGGATTACTTCGGATGGAGTTGAGATTTTTTGAAATATTTTTCGCCAATGAATCGTTTCAGTTTCTGGCTTCAAACTCAGGATGCATCAAAGCTTGTGCAAAAACAAGAATGCTGTATTGTAGAGTATATCGAATGTTACTCTGAAACCTATCCAGAGATAAGAAGTGCTTTTATTGGGTTTGAAAGACAAAACGGACTGAAGTTATGAATCTACCTGATACATATTGGAGTGACGAGAAATCGACTATCCCATAAACGGACCACGATAACTGGGTCAAAAAAAGTGTTCAGCCTTACGCTGATTGCAGTAAGGAGTGAGATTTCATGTTTTCATTTGGTTCTTACTAATTAGGAAAAAGAAAGCGCGCCGAGATTATGGGCAAGTGATGTTCTGCCCTGCAGTGTAGTGCGCAACAATTTTTAAAAAAATATTTCCATCAAACGCCGATGCAAATTTTCTGAAGCATGGGTTGCCAACATTACGGTCTTATCAAATATTGAAAAAAAAAAACAATTGGACGGTTACGTTACATTGTTATTTTTCATCTATGAAAATAAAACAGAAAAATGAGGCAAGGCTATTAAAATACCAAAATATTGTCGTCACCTGTGTTGCTGTGGGTTGTTGCCGATTGTTGCAACTACATATGTATGTTTGTTAAATATAGGGGAAGCATAGGCATACATTGATGACGATGGAAGAAATACAAAAATTGTCACTAAAAGCTAGCAGCAATGAATACATAATATTTTTGATTCAAAGAAGTTCTATATAAACAACTTATGTACTGCTGATCACAGCATTGAATGCGCCCTAGTATAAGTTGAATAATATGGTTTCAGACTTACGATTTTATCATACTGATAGGCATTTTCTCTTTTTGCCCGATTCTCGTTGTTGAGGTTCCAGCGCAGTTTTTAACATTGAAGTACCACAAGCGTCACATGTAATTAACCTCGTACTCAACAAATGTTATTTATTTCAAACGCTTGCAGTGCTTTCAAAGTTGCGATAAGAAGGTGATTTGGAAAAAATTGGGTGTATGCTAAGTTGTCCCGCAGAAAAAAGGTAGATTTTGCATCGGTAAAGAGAGTTAAGCATAGTGGTGGTAAGAGGCTTTTTCTAGCATGTATAGTCTAGACCGGTTCATATATCCTTCAACGCAATTGCAAACATTTGAACAAGCACTCTTATTTTTTATCATCTCATACTACACAGGTAATTCGAGCACATCGAGTTCAGTCACGTATATCTTCTAAATGGTTTTTACTTGGGCTGAACTGACTAGTTGACATTATGTTTAAAATAGAATGAGAGAGAATCCTTTTCAGTTCACGTGATAGAACCACGGTTCTTACATAAAAATCTATTCCGGGAAAACAAGAACTTTTTTCGCATTGGGTTTGATCAACTCAATCCGTTTCTTGCGTACATAGCATACGCTCAGATAATCGCCGGGGGCAGGCGGTCCGCAAACTCGCGCTTTTCTGCAGGCGGTCAGCAGGATTTCGGGGCGTGGCCAAATCTTCAGCGGGCGGTATTTGCGTTTTCTGCAAGCGGGCATCAATACAAAATTTTCTGCAAGCGCTCGTCAAAAATCTCTTTCAGCGAGCGCTGGCCAAACTTTCAGCAGGCGCTCAGACTCTTTTTACGCAGTTTCGGGCGTACGCCGAGAAAAGATGAGACTCTATGTGGCAGAGGTACCATCGATGGTTTTATTACCCAAGTTTGGGGTACTTTCTTTCAGCGGAAAGTACCAGAGGGCTGTGCGGTCCTTCAAAAAGGACCGTGCGGCTCTCAATAATTTTGCATGTTCTCGCGGATCCGCGAGAATGCGGCCACTGTGCCGCAACTTATGTATAGAAAAACCGCGATAGATCTTCGAGCGTTCGCCTAAAAATTGGCCAAAATTATTCCAAATTTCTGCAAGCGGACCACAAAAAATCAGCGAACTATTTTTCCGGTGCCCGCTTGCTCAAAATTCGCATGGCCGCTTGCCCCCGGCGATTATCTGAGCGTATCTTTATTTCACTAGTACAAAACGCACATTTTTGATTTTTTAAGCAAGCCGCTCAGCCGTCTCGTTGTTTTTCGCAAAACGAAACTTATGCCGCACGATGTTCTTAGGCAACACGGACCACTGTATAGTTCTTCGATCGCAAAATTCGGTTATTCAGGCTAATTGAATTTAGAAAAAAAACAAATGCGTCCTGTTCTCGTGAAATCAGGGCACTGAATCCATGAGTATTTGTTCACATATCTGGCACTATTTCAGTATAGAAATTGATATATTTTGGAGGTCAGTGGGACCTTATCAAGAATCATAACATCGGGAACGTTGGGTTTTGAATCCACTGAGCTCTTATCTCATTTCGCAGACTGTATAAAATGGTTTCATAACCTTAAATTGGTAGCACCAAGCTTAATCAGGTATTTTAAAGTCTCAATTGTTTGAACAAAAGGTCAAGATTTACACATGCTGCAGAAATGAGAATAAAAAACATACATCCTGCTGATTTCTTCCGTTTTCCGAACAGCGAAACATTTGCTGCTAGTCGACGTCAAAAAGGTCTATGTTGGTCAAGAGAGTTTTGATGCTGACCCTAGAAGTGCTTCCTCCCCACGTCCGCGAAGGTGTTCTGGAAAAAGATTTGTGTATTGGTTGTTCGTAATGCACGTAAAATGTAAGTTCCCCTACCTAAGAAACAAAAGAAGGTTAATCAAAGTAGCCTTTTGATATGAGATGGGAACACCTCATATTGAAAGGCTGTCTTGAAAGGGCTGCTTTGAAGAGCATGAAACTCTGTTTTCAAATCTACCTTCCCTATCTGATGCGGGTTTCTAGACAAGGAGTTAGTAAGTTATGAGCGAAAATGCATGTACAGCTAGGATAAAATCAGTCGTAGCATTTTTCTACGCATGCCAGAAAAAGTCAACGACATTTTTGCCTAAGTCATTCAAAACTCAAAGTAGATAAGAAAGGTATATTTAGAAACACGCTTTGTAATCTTCAAGTCAGTGTACATCCCACACAGAAAAGCCATTTCGACTAACCTTCCTTTACGCAAATTGTTTATCTAAACATCTTCATCAGTATGAACAAGTCAAGAATACTTGGGAAAGGTCGAGAGGCGCGCTAGAATGCAAAAAAATCAAAAAATTCAAATCTAGTGATTTGAAGAACGACCTTTTATTGGTGTCATTGAACTCATACTTAATTTGCAGTGCAGAAAACGATGCATGGCTATGGATTGGCCACGGTCAAAACTTTGTTTGGCGGTCTTCCCGCTGTCATGTCTGTTTTGAAATGGACCTTTCCAATCATGTAATACGGTAGTAATAATATTTGCTTACACTTGACTGGACAAACATTGTAAACTGTAGCATAAAGATTTGAAGGAATCTACACAGTCAAAGCTGAATGTCTGTTTGTTGTCAGTCCGTATGTGCCTGTTTGTAAAAAAGTATGTCTATGCATATGTTCTGAATAAAACTGAACCGATGTGGGCGAAACTGTCCACGGTACACTTCGGGGCAGGCCGGGTGCCCAAGGCTGCTTTTCGTTATCGATGGATGATTTTTTCTATCTTTGCATAAAGGTGATCATTTAAAATGCCATAAGTCGAAAATATTGTAGACACAGGTAGGATGGTTTTCTGCTGTAGGAATACATTTTCTAAATTGCGTAATAGCATTGACATGCACTTAAGGCTCAATGCTCTCTGTTTGCATCAAAATAACAGTATATTAAGACAAGTCTTTCACATATCTAGGCGAATAATCCATCTTTACAACAAGTTTCAAATCAGAATGCCCAGATAATCGTGTATGCGAATACTCTTTGAGATAATCGCGGTATGCTCATTATGTGCGATTATGCTGTCTATGTTTGAATATGTGCTTATTCAATATTCACACAATTCTGGTCTTTTCACTCCTACATTTTGAAAGGAATCCGGAAGCCACCCACTTCAACACGATTCATTTTGTGAACATTAATGGAAGCGACAAAAGATACAAAAGAGTAATTCAAAGGTGGGTGCACTGTAATGCGACATGCGTTTTGAAGGATGTGCGCATACTACATGCATAGTATACGGCCAGTCATTGTAGCTTCATTTAAAGTATAAATGGGGCAATCAATGCGCGCTCAATGCGTAAATCTCTGAAACGTGTAACACCTAGGAGAAAATTTTCTAGCTTTTAGAGCAGAAAATCGGATGATGTTAGTCTATAAAAAGGTTGACTCTGAAGCAGGGCCGGTAGTAATCTACCCTACCTGGTGGCATCAAAGATGCCTGCAAGTTGGCACAGATCGCGGAAAGTTGCCAACTCCGGCGGCAGCCCGCAGAATGGCTACAGGCAGAGCGCCGCAAAACTTTTGCGTCGTGCGCGCTCGAACTTGCATGCATCGACTTCGATGCGTCGCGCACTAACGATCAATCACACGTACACGTCACAGATAGCAAGCACGTGATAAAGATATGCCTGAGTTTGCCTGGCCGCTGCAATACTTTCGCATCAAGCGCACTTGATCTTCCATCCGTCGGCTTGGAGCGCCGTCGTACGAACCGATAGATCACCCGTAAATGCTTCGCACATAGAAAACAGCGGTGAGAGATGAATTTAAATTTCCTGAATTTCCGAAACTTGCACTTGAGCATAATCGATACCATTTGCGGATAAAGTTTGGACTTCAGAGTAGGCTGTTAAAGACAGCCTAGCTAGTTTGTTTCATTGAACTTTTTTGTAAAGATTCTTTTTTTCAAAAAAAAAACTTTACCATTGCGAACTGCATAAAAATGGCTCTAGAGTAAAACAAACGTCAGAGTTTCAAACGAATAAGATTTGATTAGCTGAGAGACGGGAAGACTCGAATGTGACGGAACAACAAAAGCGTAAATGATTATGTTTCGAGCATAAAGATGGACATCAATGAGATTTCTGAGAGACAGTTGTGACTATATTCACCCGCTGTCATAGCACGGCCCGAGTCTTCTTGAGCAACACGACCAGCATGGAACATGTTTCTAAAGCGATCGAGGTAGATTTAGAGAAAAAATGTAGGACGGAATAAAGCCCCTATAAGTAAATCGAGCAGAGATTTCAATGATAGTTGATGTCGCAGCAAATAATTCAAAAAACTTCCGATAACTAGCGTCATTTGAAACAGAAAAAGTGGTTGTATTCAGGATCTAAATCACATGATTGACAAACGTATTCGTATAACAGACATTCATTCTGATGTTTTCCATCTTTGTAGGATGAAAGAAAAATATAAATGAATTTTGGCAACTCACTGCTGCTGAGAAAAGGCAATGAGTCGTATGCTTAACAGGTTAAAAGATAAGCGAAGATGAAATGAAGGCCGGCATTGGATTATGATAGCATACTGAAGCTGGCGACAATTTTCGAGTATTATACAACGGAAGTGACGGCAATATTTGCAAGCAGTTAAGGAAAAGTGCAAACATTCAACAACACAGATCAGGACACGGTTAACGACTACTTTGATTCATACTACTCTGAAACACAGTTCGTGAAGATTTGCAGAGCAGAACACGTCCTATCTAAGTTTGTGAAAATCAAGAGCACTTGAAAAGAATTCGTGATGCACTTGCCTTGGATTTACTCGAACCTCGTCTTCAAGAAATCGATATTCAAATCTGAACCGTTTCTTTTTCGTTGCTAGCATTTCCCATGACCGCAGTAAACGCAAGTGCCCTAAATCTCCAATTCCAACTTAGGGTGGATTAAAATGGCAGTTTCCGTTCAAGATCGTCCTTACTTGCCGGTTCTTCATGCTATTTCACACAGTGAAATACATTGTGCAAAATCGTCATGACGGCCAGTGCTTGCAGCTAACAACTGCGCTCCCCTGCTTTTTAATCGATCATCATGAACAGCGATACCTTACAGGTGGCATCCCATACAAACCGCCATGTGATATAGAATGTAAAGCGGTATTGCTGGGTTCAGCCTGAAATAACAGTCAAAGATGCCGACGTAGCGCCGATGCTTGTTCTCATATACACTGCATTTTGCATTCACGCTGCTACAGACTGAATATTTTCCTTGGCGAACAAGTGTTCCGATGTCCATTGCATGGACTGGTGACACATGTCCATTGCGGAACACGCGCGGGCGGCTGAAATATGAGAGCAAGACTTGTACAGCAGATATTTGTACTCGTGCAAGCGTTTGGCCGCGCGACGCGTACTCCATAGTCCGTGCGCTCAACGACACGACGGTAAGTATCTGACAGGGTCAGAAATGACGCACAGAAGAGGGATATCTATAGGCTGTACCAACCAGCATCGGTCATGCGAAGTCGCGCCTGCGGCAACTTGCGACGGTGCGATGTGACGCGTGCGAACTCTGCTACGCGTTAAAGTACGTCGCATGCGGCTATGCGACCTCGCAAGGCATACTAGCGCGAGGCTGATGCTGGCTGATACGGCCTATATGTTAAGGCGCTCATTTGTTTCAAGAAAAAAACAAAACGGGAAATAAAATCATGAAGCTAAACACAATCGATGAGAAGCAGCCGAGTTTGGGTTATGATTGCTCAATGCATGCATGCAGGGTACTATGAATTGTATACAATTTAGACGATGTGGCCTCTTACCGCTCGCTTCCCACTTGCGGTTCCTAGAGTTTCTTACACTTTCACTTTCCTAGCACACTAGGACCAGAGAGACATTGGTGAGTATTGAACCATTGCAAGCAGCCATAACACAAAATCCTCTTCAGGAATACGATTAGCACAAACCTACAATATGAATGTGCTCTACCAAAGAATCAAACCTCGTATTTCGAAGACCATGAATGGAACAAAATAGAGAGACAATCTGAAAAACGCAATAAAAAGTTATACGCATACCCTTGGAGAACTCCTGCTATGTTAGACGCATTCTGTGTTGTCTTTCTCGCAGTCATTTCCAGCTCGATAGTAACGCAACAAAAGGATTGCTCCATAATGCTTAGGTAACAGTTCAAATCCAGCTAAGTCAAACGTCTTCTTGAAGGCTAAACCGAAAAGCGAGACAAGACTTCTAAACACATTTATCTACGGGAAGATTAACGGGTCAAGCAAACAAGATATACATACTTACACATAAGTTGCCACCAGTGACGTTCTTGATACCTATCATGTTCAAAGGCACAGATTTGACAGGGTTGATTGCATCCATGACCATTTCAGCAAAAAGTCGGCGTTTTTTGACTTACCTGAGATACTTCTCATTTGAGCACAAGCGCGGAACTAATGGTCTTGAAAAGATAATGGTAGTTAGCTTACATCACTGCTCGAAAAGGCGCACTTGACCAGCATATCCCTTATCCATGTCACTTTTACTGTCACAGAGCACATACGCCTCAGTAGAAGACGGAGATCATTGGGCGGCCCACGGTACACAAGGCTACCTGCAACAAGTAATTCAGTTTTGAAAGTGACAAAAACTTTATCAAACAAACGTAAACGGCAAAAACGAATACAATTCTTTACGAAATTATGAAACCTAGAAATGACGATTGGAGGCGCCATTTCAGCGGCGTCATCCGCAACTGTCCATAACGTGATTTCACAGACGCCGTCGAGAACGTGCCAGCATCTCGACGTGGTAGCGGCACGTCAAAATGCCGACAACTTCCTCTCTCAAAAGAGCACTCTCTTTCTCGTGCTCTCTAACCTACCGGTACCTGCCACCTCGCAAATTTCGACGAGCTGCCGGCAGCTCCTCCTGCGCTTCCAGATATTTTCCTTCAGAAAGAATTTCGGATCCTCAAATTTCCATGAGGGTTTTTATGGAGTCTCGGTGACATCTTCATCGAAGAAATTTTTTAAAAAGGCCTGATACTGCTTAAATTGGAGATCTTAGGTTCCGGCGACTTACCGAAGAGACCTGCCGCCAGGTAGAGGGATCACTACCGGCCCTGCTAATGTCAGTGTTCTATTATAGAGCGATTTATAACCGCATGATATCATGTGAATGAAGTACTATAATATTGTTATATTTCTTTGAAGTTCATGTTGCAACATCTTGCAGGCAATGTAGAGCACAGTATTCCTTGGCCAAAATTCAATATAAGGTTATGCTATCTCTCTGAATATTAGATGAAGTTAACTGCTGTACCTCATGACCAATATAGGTAAACCATCATCTTTGCTTGATAACTCGGAAGTGTCTTATGAGAGCGTATAGTCAATGGCTCTATCGAATAGAGTGATTGTGCTTATACAAATCCTATCCCTGTCTTAGCAGTGCTGTATCTCTTTCAACATCTACAAAGCTGCTTTCAATAGCTCGATTTCTGAATTTTTTATTGTTGAACAAGCACGCAAAGATGAGACATGCTTTTAGATTTACTCATTTCTGCGAGATATTTTAGATTTTAGCAAATTCCGCTGGCCAAATGCTCTTCCTGGATATGGTTCCTCCTAGTTTCGCTCAACTTGTCGAACTGAATGTCGCAA